TGCTGAGAAATGGCTCAGAGGCAATTCTAGCACCTCGTTTAAATAGTAACTCCAATTTAGAGTTAAGGCTGGAAGTAAATGTCAGAACATGTGTTGGATGATTGTAATGCTCTTACATACAGTGATTCAAATAGAAAAACTCACCCCATCCCCAACACCTTGCTGACTTCAGATTCCGGTGTCCCGAATTTCCCGAAACTGACAATCCATCATTCTCACCCGCTTCATGGTGTGATTGGGCAGCTGTACGAATGTGAGAAGGGAGCCGGGGTTTGAACTTTTTTTTATTCTTGACACAACTATTTGTACACTTTTTGTATGAACAAATAAGTGCAACACTTTTGCGTCCCCCGCTTTCTATGACTGTGGGCCTCGCTTTGCCTTCGAGTGAAGCCGTTCGGATCGGGTTTAAACACTTTGATTTCCCACATGGTCAGGCAGCCTATTGTAACAACAGGTTCTGATCAAGTATACCCCGGCCCTTTCAGGACTGCAGCCAGACACCAGGCATTGTGTTGGTGACACCAGCAAAACACAGACACTGAGCAGTTTAGTTCCCAGTTGCAGTGTTTTAAATCAAAGTGTCTTTACTTTTGATTTGTTATAACTTAAAATTTATAAAATACATCATCCATTGTAGCTTCTATATAGTGCTTATGTTTAAAAACGGATTAACATGGTTCTGTCATGTTCTTTGCCCGTGGGTTGGTCGGTCAGTCAGGCCACTGCTTTGGTCCTGAGTGAAATGTTTTGACCATTAATGGAGGAATTGCCATGAAATTTGGTAGAGGCATTCATGTTCTCCTGAGTACGAATTGTAACAATTTTGATGATTCCCTGACCATTATCGGATAAAAATTTGATGACTAAATATTGGCATAACTAATGCCATCCCCATCAGACTCAGCTGCACTTTGTGTTTAATGCTAATTAGTACATTTTAGCATGCCAACATGCTAATCTAAGATGGGGACTATGGAAACAATAGCATTATCATTGTGAGCATGTTAGCATGATAAAGACTTCTTACATTTACATTCTTCCCCATGACTTCCAGGGATCAATAAGGACTTCAACTTTAATCCATTTCATAATTTGGTTTTCTTTACAATAAACATTACAGAACACAGAGCTGCTAAAAAGCATCAACAATTGTGTTTGTGGCTATTTGTGGGTAACAAATGAGTAAAAAAGTATATTTCAGGACCAATAACTTTTTATGTTCCTTTTTAAAACTGTACTTAATGGCATATAAAGGCTACACATCCAATTTCAGATGATGACAAGATTGTTTCTGATATATTAACAGAATCCTCTCTTTGTGCAGAGCATGCTTTTCTTTTGATAGAAATAAGCCTATTTATTATCTAAATATTTGCATTAGTGGTTGCCATTTGTTTTATAGCTGTGCCTGATAGTGAATTCTTTAGTAGGCTACCAGTTGTTATTTATTTTAGAAAACAATTTTTGAGAAGTAAAGGGAGAGAGCAATTGTTTCCACGTGACGCACAGATCTCCCTCTATATTTAGGTTTACCCTAGTTCGTTCAACACTGGGCTGCTCCTGTGTTTTTGCCACAATAATTCTTTACGTAAAGATTATGTTCATAGATGCTTTAGGAATAATAATATTGTATTGGGTGCCTGAGCTATTAGTAGAGAGGGTAATTCATATGCTACCCCCTTTATATAATAATGATGATAATAATAATAATATGCTGTAAAGACACTTTACAGTAAAAGTAGAAGTTATGTACATTTAAAACAGATTAAAAACATAAAAAGCATAATATAAAATATATGAACAGTAAATCAAAGTGTATAAAGAGGTTTGGTTGGCTACATGCACATATCAAGATAACAATAGATACATAGTAGGCTAGGCAGCTAGCAAGTGTGATATTTTAAAGTGATCTTATCGATACCTCCATATAGATTAAAAAAATAATAGGTAAAATAGTTCTATTATGCAGAGATACTTGCTTATAATCCCTTTGTCCTCCCATGTCTATAATATTCATTCATTCAGCTTGAGAACTTGTTATAGTCTGTCTTAGAAAAATAAACCCCTGGATATTTTTTGAAGCGACATATTGAATCCTGAATAATCTCCATTTACCTCATTGTTCTCCAGTGCCCTGAATACACACTGACTTTGTGGGATTTATTGCCAATCGTCAAACCATTCCTGCACTGAACATGTTTTTTTGGGTGGTGGGAAGGCAGACCCTCCACCATTCAGAACTCCCTGTGGGGGGTCAAGGTCCATTACAATGGACAAACATCACCCTGCCCATTGTATTTGTTAGTCCCTAATTGCAAGACCTACAGCAATGTTGATTGTGACAGTGAGCACATTCATTACGAACGTATTTAGCAGAGTCATTAACACTGGGGGAGCATGTTATGGAGTGTTTGGAGACAGTTATCTGCATTTGGCATTGGGTAAATAAAAGGGGGGATATCTTGCTGTAAGTACAGACGTTGAACAAGAATACGTGTTAGGATGAGGATGATAATTAAAGAGAGTGGGAGTTTTAGTTTGTGTTGTAATTCTTATGCTGCAAAACACAGTGCTGGGAAAACAAATCCTAAACGCATCATCAGGAAGGGAGCAGCTTCAAACTTTTAGCTTATAGGTTACAAAACATCTACTAGTTTAAATATTTTCACTGTGACTAAAGAATCGTTCACTCTCTCCTTGACAATTTCCTGTGCACATCCATTTTCCAGAGCTCAATACACATGAATCAGAATAACTAAACTGCTTAGATGGTTGCATGATCATGATACAATACTTATTTTAACATTGCTAATTGATCCAGTTGCTGCTATTGTTCCTACTAATTGACCGCCAATTACGTCATTAGTCTGTGTTAGCCTGTTTTGATAAGGACTCAACTACCCGGAGCTGAGATATCTACGTAACCAATCTGTGCTGTCTGCCACTAAGACAATGTAAAGTACTAACAATTATCCATGCATCGACTGTATGTCTGAGTGAAAATACTGAATGCTAATGAAACAATGAATTCTATTGTTGGGTAAAGCTATTCATACAGGTTAACACAGAAGTTATGATTGCTGACATTATATTACTTCTACATTGTACAGTCTTAGTTGGATCATAAGACTCATCACATCTCCAGTGTGATCACCATGACTTGATAAAGACCAAGGTCCCGGATGGTAGCCTGGAGGCTTGTGATTCCACCTGAATGAGACGAAGTGATAGTGTAGAGCTTGCGGAGCCTTGGAGAGGCCATAGGAGACAACATACACTAGGCATTAGATGCTGTTAGTATGCAGTTCACTCAGGATTTTGAGTCGTATCAGTAAATTCATAAAGGCTTACATGTGTAATTTTTTTTTTTATAGCTGCTTGCTTTAGTTTATTAAATATGTTTTCATGAAAATTTAAAGCAAGCAAATATTAATTAGTTTATATAGCACTTTTCTAAACAGTTTTTCAAAGTGCTTACCAAAGTAAGACAGCATATAAGAACACTGACACAAGGTGTGCAAACCACAAACTATAATACAAACAATAATAAATAGTAAAACGTTATACCCTTTTGCAGCATTACAATGCACAGTCCTGATATATTACTTTGTTATGTGAACTTGACCCTGAAATAACCATCTTATGAAGTGCTGTACATGTTCAGAGTAAACATTTCAGTTCTAAGCAGCCAGACTCTACCAGTCCAGTGGAGAGAAAGTATAATGTGTGATCTGTTTGTGAATGTTGCTGTTATTGGGGAAAAGAGAAGACATAAGCTCATTTCTATAAATGATATTCAGTTATTACTAAGATTGTTCCTCATGTCAGTCAATACTTGGGTTCTTATGGAGAATGTTTGGCCTAAACTGGTTTGAACAGATTTCTGAGGAATATAAGCAAAGAGAATTCTTATATTTTCAGATAGGATCAGTGCTTGGCAATACTCATGGTCAATATAATAAAATAAAAATGACCAATGGTGCAGCCACTATGAAACATAAACATGGCTGTGAGTCCAACTGTTGTGGCATAAAGAGGATTTTCAGGTTCTCCATTTAGTGCCCGGATTCATCAAGGGTCTCAGAGTTAAAAAATCAGCCCTAACTGGTCAAAACTTCTCATGCATATTTGGTCCTTTAGGACTAAAAGCATTTTATAACTCTCAGCTGATATTTAGGAGAACTCCACAGGTGTCCTAACCTGTTTGGAGTTGCCAGAAGATTGTGTTCAGGCAAAGCCATTCTGTCAGAGGAGAGATGTTTTGGAAATGGTTGATGACAATGAGCCATTTTGACAAAAGCTGGATCATTTTTGTGAGAAACTAATGTCCTTAGCCAACAAATGATTTCAGCAACCATGTAATGTGGGAAAAAAGGCAACCCCCTCATTCATTTCAATTTGACCACACATTAGGGGGTGCTAATGCAGAGGGTTGAACGCTGTGATAAATCTCCAGACTAAAATAGTATAAAATCCTATCCCTCATAGTTAGATCTGTGCTGCGATTTGGTGAGTGAGAAGCCTTCAAACTCATGGATTAATTACTCTGGCCAGACAGACCTCATTTTTTTTCAATCTTCGTACCGGTACCTTACATTACAGGTAAAAGCACAGCTGTGAAGGTTGAATGATAAATTGCCGTTACTTGTCAGGAAAAGCTGAACGATATTGACTCATTTTAAAAGAAACCCCTCATGAATGAAACATGTTGTTACTGTCAACCTTGCAAGTTAAGAGACAACTGTCATTTTTACTCCATGATAACATGTCTGGAGCATTTCGCCAGAGCGGTATGTTCTTTTTTTCTGTTTCTTTGGCTTATTTTCACGCTATACTGAAAACATATCACCAATCTATAACTTCAAATAATCATCAGAAAATGGGATATTATTACTCTTTTATTTTACCATACTGGATTGTTTTTGGTATGTTGTGTGGTCTGATTCCTTTTTGGGAAGTAAAAAAGAAACTAGAAATTGTTGAAATAATTGTGCAGAAATGAATCTGTTTGTGTCCCTAGAGCAACTTGTCTCCGCTCCACTCACTCCCCTTCTCCCCCTGAGAACTAATGACTGATGGTAATTACATTTAATGAGATCATGGGGTCGTCTGCAGGGTGCACTTCTGCAAATTGCTCTCAGCGTGGGGTCTGAAGTGGGATAGGGTAGGGGGCAACAGGGCAGTCGAGGTCGGGGCCAGGAGTGTTTGCAGAGTGTTTGGGGGCCAGGACCCACAGTGGCTTTACCTGTCACTCACTGAGTAGTGAAACATGTCATGCATTTGTCTGCCTTTGTCCTCCTCATTTGTTTGTCTGCTGCTCAATGACTGGTCATTTTGCCACTATTTTCTGCCTGCAGGGGGTTACCCAGGCAATTTAGTTAATCCATTAACAACTAATTGTCTCCTCCTATCCTGTTGCTTGGACAAACAGCCTAGTTGGGGGGGTGTCAAGTCCTGGTGACCTATAAAAGTCATACTGGCTGAAGAGGCAGCCACTGTCGCTGCAGTCCTGGTTTTCTACACATTTACTCGGACATTTAAGCTTTGGATTTTTATTTAGTGTGGAGTCACCCTGACTTTAGTTAATTGTTTCAGTCTGCCTTGCTCTTATTTTTCTTAATTTAATTACATTTTTCGTTGTTGGTGGACATGTTGGGAAATCTGAGGGTACTCTGCCTGTGTCTCTGCTTCTCCTGGGCCAAAGCTCATATATGGGCCTGGATGCTCAACATGCCTCACAGCCCTCCCAAAGAAGGAGCTAAGGCACTTAGAGACAGCGATCCTGTAGCCAAAGCAACCACGGTAAGCCACTTCTGCATACTGTGCATTAAGATAATGCTTCTCGTGAATTAATTCAAACCTTTATTTAATCCTCTGAGAAATCATTAGAGCAAAAAGACAGTTCTGTGTTAGTACAGTGAAGTATTTCTTCTTAAGCCCGAAAATGTGTTTAGAGAAATTGTTATCAGTTTTAATTGTCCCTACTTACATGAAAAAGGGGCTGTTAATGCTTTTGCACATGACAATTCAGTCTTTACATAACTCAAAGTCCAAGATTTATAGGAACATGCAGGACTTAAATTTTAGCAAAAGTCTTTTTCCAAAAGTTTTAACACTTCCCCTCCTTTTACCAGGCTGTGTGCGAACATGACAGGGCCTGTGGGCGGGGTTTCTCCTGTGATCGACACTTTGGTCTTTGTGTTCCTCTACGAGGGGAGGGCCACTACTGTCGGAGGGACGCCCAGTGTGTCCGCGGACTAAGTTGCATGTTTGGGAAGTGCCATCGCAGCATCCCCAACGGACAAGAGGGTAAGAGTGCAGCAGCAAATTGTATTTATTTAAAATATAAAATAGTGGCTTTGTCAGTTTCAGATTCATTATGGCTGGACTTGAAATAATTGCCGTTTCCTTCATCCAGGTGCCAGATGTAAAGTTGACAGGGATTGCGGGGCATCCATGTGCTGCGCACGACACCATGGTGAACAGGTGTGCAAGAGACGTCTGATCTGTGGTGAGAGCTGCTATGTTCCTGATGGAGGCCTGGCATTTAGCATAAACCAGATCTGTCCCTGTGATGAGGGACTACTGTGTCGTGAAAGCAGTGCATCCCACCAGAGAGAGTAAGTACAGCAAACAACCCAAAAGCCCCAGGGTCACTGTTGTACAGTATATGATTAGTTGAAAATTTGTCAGGGAATTCACCACACTTAGTATGTACAATATCAAGCAAAACAGGTCTTGGACAAAGCATAAAAAGTATACTTAAAACAGCCCTCACCATGCATTCTTTAACCAACCATTGAGAATTTGGGTTTCTTTGGTACACTCTTGTCCCACAATGAAATGCACAACGTAAATGGAGGAGCTTCTCACAGCTGGAAAAAATTCTAACAAATTATGGATGTTGGTAAAACAGCTCAAGGGACAACTCAGAAAGCCAAAAAAATAGCTATTAAATCAGTGGAAAAACATTTTGATGTCTATTTGTGAAGTTTAATTGGCAGTGACATTCCAAAGTCGCAGTTTTATTTGACGAGGCGTGCAACTTGTAATAATTCCCAGAAACATTTGATAATGAATGGCGTGATTCACATGGCCTAACCTCAATTTGTTTGTCTTTCAGGAGAGATTTTATTTACAGGCCAGAGCGAACAAGTTGGACCTGCCAAGTGCCCAAACCTTGATGTCAGCCTCAACATTAAAGCTATTTATTATGTAAATATGTTGTATATGATTGTATATAAAAACTTATGTTGCCAAATATGTTGTTTTACTAGATGTTCTTATTAGAGTTATACAGCAAGGATGTTTTTAAAAATATTATTTCATTTTGTATTTTATTGATAAAAGCACTACTGTATGTAGTTGGGCTCAACAATGCCATTATGTCTCATACAGTACCTTCCTCATGCATTTAGTGATCTTTGATTATATGCGTAATGTCTATTCCCCTTCAATTTAAAGAATAAAAATAAATATTTTTCAAAAGCAACAATTTATGGCTATCACTTCATTTGCCAGCTGCCAGTAATAATTCCTTGTCAAGAATAATTACTCATAAGCAAGACAGTGTGACGAAAAGGTTTTGCTGCTCTCTTGTGGTGAACATACAGGGGATGTTTATAATGATTAAACACACAGTAAATTCACATGTACTGTAAAGCAGTTAAAACAGATCATTTCCCTCTGTCTACAGTTGCTGAGCATTTTAAAATCAAATGGTGAATGTTGGGTGGAGTGTAACCTTAACCCACACGTTACTCCGATGACTTTCAGTAACAGTAACAGTAAACCTTTTACAGACACCTTTCAGGTTTAGATGCAGTTAATGTTTCATACTCAAAAGGCAGATTTTGGGTGCAGTATCACTTTATAGCTGACAGTGGACCATACAGACCCTGACTCTGTCTCCCTCTCAGCACATTGAGCATGTTTCTTGGATCGCAGGCTGCGGTTGCATAATATGGTGAAATCCTGCGGCTCCCAATTGTTAGCTTCACCAGATGCTGTAACGTTAGCTGTCCCCTGGTCCGTTCTTAGATTGGTATCTTCCTTGGCCTACTCCTTAGAAATTCCCCTGTTGCTCCATTCAGATGCTAATTGTCTGCAGTTTGCCCCTTCAATTGCTGGGTGACTTGAATTGTTCTGTGAAGGACATAGTGTCTAACCTCTTTGCTATCGTTTTACAGCTCTCATCATTAAGTCTTTGCAAGGATGAATTTGTGAGAACTGCATGATAAAAATAAGAAAGATTTCAAACTTTATTGGTGCATCGTTGATGCTGTGCCTTTCCCTCGAGCATCTTTAGTTTTCTAGCTATTTTAATTTCTTAAGAAATTTGATTTCTAACAGAAAAAATATCACAAACAGACATAAATAATTTACACTCATTACATCAACACTAAAGCTACTGAGGCTTTGGATGGCATGATATAAACTAATGCAAAGGATGTAAACCTGTCAATGAGAACACACGTTTCACGACAGGTAGATGGGACAAAAGCGATATCTAATAGCACAAGACTGTGAGAAACCTTATATTACTGAATGCTGCTAAACACAGTCCTATCATCTCCACTTAAGAACACTAGTTACTAGTGTATGTTGGCTCTTATCTGGGGTACCATCACATTTTAAGCTATCCATACATGTCTGTTTGCACTATTTAGCTTCTTTAATGGTATTATGTTACTGAAAATTTTGGCCAGTAGAACAAAGAGAAGGAACAGGGCTGTCAGTTTCTCTGTCTACCTGATGTTTGCAAGAGATATTAAGTGATTTATCAATAATTTGAATAGTTTACCATTTATGGAAATTAGCTCACTCGCTTTGATGCGACTTTGACTCCACTCTGATGTTTGTCCATTAAATATAAGTCTATAGTCAGTAGCCGATTAGCTTAGCATAGCCTAATGACTGAAAACGGGGAAACAGCTAGCCCCACACTAAATGTTAAAAAATCAAAAAAACAAATTGTCCACATCAAATGTGGACAATTTGTTGTTTCATGTTTGGTTATGTGCTGGACAAGGAAGTTTGTACTCCAAGCCAAGAATTTGTCCAGCAAATAACCTCCTGTAAAATTGTGAAAACACTTTGGTTTTGATACAAATTAAACAAACAATATATAACATGTTAATCAGTGAGCTTTAGAGGGGCTGGTAGGTGGATTTTGTTACCTTTGGACAGAGGCAGGCTAGTTGTTTCCCCCATTTCTCGTCTTTTGCTCCAAGTCACCTATGTTCAATATTCAGTGTATAAAATTGATAAATTCCCTGTCTGCTCATCTCTAGAAGAGGTGACTTAAGCACCCTGAGCACTAATCCTGTGAGACGCTGGTGATTTAAAAGTCAATGTTCGAGCAGCACAGAGAGCTTTTGTGAGCAGCCCCACAATAGAGCTCTTAAACCAATCCTGCCAGGGGGAAAAGTGGAGATGGGAGAATGGGAGGAAAGTTGATTACCCTTACCTGTGACAGTATAAAATACCTCCTTAAGTTGTCAGCATATCAGTTGTAGAGCAACTGGTGCTGCTAACCTGTTGAAGAGCCATGAGGATACTTTGATGTCATACTATTCAAAGGTGTTTTTCCCTACAGGTGAGTATTTTTTGTGACAGATTTCATCATTATATGTTATCCTTAAATATACTTTCATTGCTAAGGCGGACTTCTTAAATCTCTCTGCAGCATCACATTATGGCTTCTGTCGGTGCATTATTAATGCTTTTGCCCGTTGCATGGACATGCTCTCCCCAAAAAGCAGGTAACATCACTATGATGCAGAGATTAGCTGGTACTTATATGCTTGTGTCACATTCGCTGCACAAAACAATGGTCGTCCTGCAGATCCCAGGTATTATAGGCAATCATTTGTCAGGTCCATGGTTCATTAGGAGTTTGACTAATGAAAGATGTAATCCTTACAACATACGACACCATCTATCCTTAGACCCTCAATTCAGATAAGAAAAAAATTTACCCCCCAAAACTGGAAAAAAAACGCAAATGGAATGACATGTAGTAAATGTCTATATAAAGCGTAGACGTAAAATTAAATTAAAATTGCAACATGGAGAAACAGAATCACATTATTAAGTAAATATTACATTTAATAAGTGAGTTTCAGGCAACATGTAAAAGTGTTTTGACAGAAGCCACTTCATCATCTCTAAAGTTTGTCTCTCTGATTGTGTCTGATCTTATTTCAGACTACGTTATGGTGTCATGTTTCCCCAACGCCATCATTGCAAACGTCCCGGAGTGTCCTTACGGCTGGGAGATTGAGCAGCTCTCCCTGGGTGGAGTCTGTTACTCTGGAATACACAGCCCGGGCTACTACCGCTTCATCATCTCAGACCTAACACCCAGAAACCACTCGTACTGCGGCACGCAGTCTGAGGTGAGACAACAAGCAGGTATTAAAGTGCTGTGTTCATTTTATTTTCCCTAAGTTTTGAGATATCTAACCACCCCAGTTTAGTTTGTGGTGCTTTAAAAGTTGACATTTTAAAAATTCACCATCTCTTTCCAGAAAGATGAAAATTAATAAAATACGTCTGTGCGCCAACAACAAAAATACAAGAAAAAGTAAACAAAAATGCAAAATAACATCCGACCTCCAAAGAACATTGACAAACTTTACATTTGAGCTAAGCATTTTTCCAAAAATTTTCAGAATCATCTGCTGCATGAAAAAAAACATTTTTAACCAATTTCCTAAGTTGCATCTACAGTATATTTTGTTTCCAGATGAGTGCTTTGTATGACACATCACGTTTGTTTTTATGAAAATTTACAATAATACATCAGTAGTTACATCAATACAGACTAATGTGACTTTTTGTGACTTTGGCTTACACTGAACACAAGACTTTTCCGGCTACCAAATATCATGCATCAAAAAGAAACTTTTTTTATCCAGATGACTTGAGGTTTCTGGAAATACCTTTAGAACAGCGGTACATTTTACTAAATTACCTTCTGGGTATTTAAAAGATGTCCAGGTATTTTCTTTTTTTTTGGTAAAATGGATGCTGAGATACAAATGTAATGGTAATACATGAGAGACACAGACTGAAGTAACTAAACAAAGCAATTAATAGCTCTGGATCTAATTAGTAAACCACCGCATGATGACCTGATAACTCTAACTGTCAACAGCTTTCATGGGGACTGTTTCTTTGGTAAAAGTAGTTCCAATGAAAACTGATCAAAGTGAAGATATCTGAAAACCTGGGAACATAAAACCAAAACTAACTCTGTGGGTTTAAATGCTAATAGCGCCAGTTGTAAGTTGAGGTTACGGACCCTTTAACACATACAATTATTTAAATGCAACTTAATTAAAGTATTATTGAAGGAAAAGGTTTATCTTATTCACCTCTTCTGCGGTTGATCTCCATTGTTCTCCACAGTACATGCCTGGCAAAGACCCCAAGTACATCTTCTATAACTCCATCGTGTCCAATGACACTTCTCTCACAGTCAGAAACCAGCCTGTTAACTACACCTTCAGCTGCATGTACCGAGCAGCCTACCTAGTAAATAATGCCGTCTTCAGCCAAAGGTAAGCACCGATCTAGGACACGAGGCGACGGCAGATACTGTGTGGAAGATATGTGCATTCTAACCCAATGACTTGCAGTGTTTTTACTAAACCCTCTGCTTTTTCCAGAGTGGCTACAGTTTATGTCAACAACGGGAGTTTAGGCACTTTTAGATCACAGTTGTCTATGAATGTGTTCACGGTGAGTAGCCGCTCCCAGATTCAGTTTCTCCAGTGGAAGCCTTTTGAAACATGTTTAATGCGATCATCCTGTTTTTAAATGTGTTATTTAATAAATCCTGTGCAGAATAGCTGTCTGGATAAATAAAAGTTATGGTATGGGTACAACTTGTTACGGTCATTAGATGTAAATAAAAGAATGCCACCGTCAGATGAAGAAATACAAATATTTTGTAGAATTCAAAGTTCCTGTATGCCAAGGATGCTCCCTATGTGATTGACACTTCTGAGATCGGCTCTGAAGTCTTCATTGGCATCGAGGCGAAAGGACTAAGTAACAGGTATGTCAACAAATAAAAGTAATAAAAGTATATTCCATTATAGAGGATTTCTAATCTTTTTCTGAACTTCTCAGATTCAAAGTTGTAATTAACAACTGCTGGGCGACTCCTACTCCTTACTCAACTGACAAGAAGAGGTGGAGTCTCATCATTAACAGGTAAAATGTAAAAACATTTTACATTCAATTCAGTTAGCTTAACATGTAAAGTTAAATCAACAACTGTTTAGTTACAATGACACACAATACAATTACACGCTGCCCTCAACACTTCCCGCACTGCAACTGTATGCCCAAGAATACTGAAAAGACTCACTGGGGGCCTCTGGAGCTCTACAGATTCAGTGCTTGTATCAGAGTCTGACAGTAGACTCAGTCCTTGTCAGCCTGTGGATGCTAATCCTCCTGCCTGCCTTTGGCGAGACTTGTTATTGACAATTTTAGCGCCTGTTGTTTGCATTTTGATTTATACTTTTATAGACTTCAGGTAATTTCTTAATACTTATACTGTCATGATCTACGAGTTGGTAAAGTTTTATATATTTACTGTCAAAATACACACGATTATCAGTTAAGTAAGTTCAGTTAGGTAAAGTCAGTCATCTTCATTTAGCTTAGAGCTTCAGATTTTGGGGGATAATGAAGCATGCATTGCTTTACTTCCACTCAACACTTGCATATGATGGTAGTATGGGTCTGAAAGATGCACAACACCTACTCCTACAAATACTCAAACACCCGAAATCCAGCATTAGTTACAATTAAATTTACCTTCAATTTACATTTTCTCAGTTTGAAGAGTCAATTGTTCATTTGCAAAACGTATGTAGTTGTGGAGTCACCTTTGTAAAATGTAAATGTAAATGCTCTGTATTTGAACGTGCCTTTCTAGACTTTGCAACCTCTCAAAACGTTTTTTACACTGCATCGCATTTACCCATTTCCACACATTAATACAGTCTAAGTGCTCAAACAGAAACTCACATTCATACACCGGGGGCAAATTCAGGGCTCAGTATAATAATAATAATAATAATCCTTATTTGTAGAGCACTTTTCAAAAACAAGTTACAAAGTGCTTTAACAAGTGTAAAGAATAATACAAAAAAAAAGATAAGAGCATGAAAATTTAATATAAAATTAGTAAAATACAATCAAATAAAAGGGATAAAATAAAGTCAAATAAGATCGGGAAAAGCTCTCCTATAAAAGTATGTTTTAAGAAGGGACTTAAAAGAGTTCACTGACTCAGCCGACCTGATTTCCTCGGGCAGGCTGTTCCAGAGCCTCAGGGCCCTGACAGCAAACGCTCTGTCCCCTTTAGTTTTCAGTCGAGACTCTGGAACAGACAACAGACCTCTGCCCGAGGTCATTTCTGTTTTGTCTGACTTCAGCTGGAGGAAATTATTTGACATCCATTTTTTAACTTCACAAAGGCAGTTGTTAAGTGAACTCAGCATTCCAGGGTCTGTGGATCTGACGGGCAAGTATATTTGTGTGTCATCAGCATAAATATGAAAAGAAATGCCATGTTTATGGATAATATGTCCAAGGGGAAGCAGATACAAGGAAAACAAAATGGGTCCTAAGACCGACCCCTGAGGCACACCATATTTAACTGGACAGAATGAAGAGACATAGTTGTTTACAGTTGTATCTTACCTTTGTACCAGAGCTTGAACAAAAACAACACAGGAGGCTGCTCCCTGTGAACTTAAATTAAAAGTGTAAGGATGTGGTGACAAACACTATAAAAAGAAGGGTCTCTGGAGATTTTTAACCCTTGGAAGTCTGCTAATAGGCTGAGTTCATGTCACAAGACTTCAAGTCAGAACCTATCTTCTGAAACCATCTGAACAGAAAATTACCTTGAAATAAATAAAACTTTAACATCAAGATAAAGATTACTTGATTCTACTTAATTCCTGTGTGATGTTGAATATGAAAGTGTAGTTCTCTATGGCACTTGATGATTGGATCAACTCTCAGATTCAACAGTACTGTCTGTAAAACAGGTTTTGTCTTCCAACAGCTGCTCCTCTGACAACACTGTGACTATTTTTGAGAACGCCAAAGACAGCCGCTCCATGTTCAAGTTCAACTCTTTCCGCTTCCAAAGGCTAGAGAAGGTGTCCACAGTCTGGCTTCACTGTGAGGTCCAGGTCTGTGATGGAGAGAGACTCATCTGTCAGCCAGTGAGTTAAATATTATTATATGATATTAAACATTAAAGCACTGTGAAATGTTCTCTTTTCTGTTTGCATTTTATGTATCTATTTCTTTCTCTCCCATCAAACTTCGACATGCAGACTGAGGAGCCACAGATCTGATAAGGGGACCACCACTCTACCCCCTGAGCCATAGCCGCCCCTATTTAACAGAAATAGTTACAAGTTACTTTTCAAATTCAAGTTAAACCAGTGGTTCCCAACATATTTGGCTTGCATTTCCATGTCATGTTTCAGAAAGCTGTGAGTTGTCATAAAGTGATTTCCCATCTGCTTCAGATTGTTAAACTAGAAGAGGTAAAAATACCCAAAATTTCACATGATTAAAGTGAAGTCCAAAGAATGAAGACAGTTATTATTATCTGATGACACTTTGGAGGGGCACGACCCTTAGGCTGTGCTACCTGACTGTACAAGTATTTAAAACTTGTAAAATGTTGCTTAGTGGTTGGCACTGTCGCCTCACAGCAAGAAGGTCATGGGTTCAAACCCCGATTCCCCCGGCCTTTCTGTGTGGAGTTTGCATGTTCTCCCCGTGTCCGCGTGGGTTCTCTCCAGGTGCTCCGGCTTCCTCCCACCATCCAAAGACATGCAGTCTAGGTTGATTGGTTACCCTAAATTGTCCTTAGGTCCTTATTCGTCTATGTGTGGCCCTGCAATGGACTGGCAACCTGTCCAGGGTGTACCCCGCCTTGCGCCCGATGTCAGCTGGGATTGGATCCAGCCCCCCGCGACCCTGTACGCATATAAGCAGTTGACGATGGATGGAAAATGTTGCTTAGACACTAAAGCTGATGATACACAGCAACTTTTAGAGCAATTGTGCAGGGCAACGACATTACCGTCAATGGTAATGAGTAAAGATTAGTAGTAGAGTAATCCCCTTCCCCCACCACTTCACCACCCGGACTTGTCGGACTTGCTCAAAAAGTTGCCCCGTGTATCATCAGCTTAATACTGAGTAAAAAAAATCTAATAATGTCAGATATAATAAGGTATCAGTCACTGGAGACATTTTAATGCAGAATATATTATTTGTGTACATTTAGTCGATAGTACTTTTTCCTAAGAAGGATTTTGAATGCAGGACTTTTACTTGTAGTGGAATATTTTTACATTATGGTACTGGTACTTTTACTTTTCTGATCCGAGAAGTATCACTTTCATCACATTTAAGCCATTTCACATGCCTCCAAACTATTTTTGAAACTGTTTTTTTCCTAATCGTACACCAAGGTTTCATCCAGCTTGTGACAGACCGCCCCCTCATTTATGAAGGAAGGTGGAGATATTTAAGCCAGAATGTTTATAAAGGATGGGAGGGAGGAGACAATGTGGAGCAGAGCACAGGGGACAACCTAAATAGGAATTTAACAGAAGTTCATCCTGTCTATCTGTTTAATATACTTACATTTATAGTTATTCTTAGTTTAATGTGCTACTTTGGATCCACATGCAACCCATGTTTCTTCCTTGTTTCTTTCCTCAAGGGCCCCTGCTCTTTCAGACGTCTGTCGTCAGAGGCAGAACCAAGTGGGGGGATCCTTACTGCTGAGTTTCACATCAAAGGTACAGTACGCCATGATGCCTATACATGCCCAGGTATTTTGAACTTCTCACAATATTAAATCCTCTCCAGACATGTTTTAAGAAATTTAAAATACTCTGAATGGAATATTAATTTATGTCTGATGATTTTTTCACAATAAAAACAACCTTGAGAGTTAGGGGGATTTTAATAAAATAAACAGCAAACTATTGCATTGTTATTTCCCCTCTTCTTTCAAATTAAGAGACTCCAATAGACTGTACTGTAAAAGCGTGTGTTGTGATGTTTTGTTTTTATCTCTTCACAGGTAATGGGTCCTCCAATAATGGACACATAAAAGGTAAACAAATGTGATGCAATGATAACTGTATTGTATTGATATGCTGAAGTGTTTTTGAACTCAAATATTCAGAGCCATAGCCAGAATCTTAGAAATACTGAGGACATGAGTTAAATGCTGTTATTTTCATTTATTCAGTTAATTACCTTATCTTTTCTTTCCCAACATATTGATTTTGCTTGGTGTTTCAAGCCTTATCTACATCATCCGAAACTTGATTAATTTATTAATTTATAATACCATACCCACCATATGCATATGTTGCAAAACGCCTCAAATGACCAGAAAAAAATTCAAAGTGTCGTCAAAAGCTTCGACTCATGTAATTTTGTTGAAAATAGTTTCTCTTTCATTAACAGTTAATCCTCTGTATTTTCTTTGCCTTTTCCACCACAGGCACTTCACTATTCATCCTGCTGGTGGTCCTAATAAACACATGGTGTGATTTAGTAAATGGGTCAAGAATGTAGTAAAAACTTAGATTTCCATTCGGTTTCTTTTATACACACATACACAGAGGGGAGTGTCACAGGACTCAGGGAGCGTATGAATACATTCCTCCCCCACACTCAAATAAATGATTTTCTCATTTAATTTTCTCACAAAGAATATTTGTAATTAGCATTTATTGAGATTTCCATATCTTCTTGTGAATGAATAATCTTTTAAAATGTTACATATATTACTTCACTGCTTTCTCTAATAAAGATTCTTTGAAAACTAATCCTCGTCCCTCTTGTTTTAAATTCTGCCCAGAACTTTTCTGGGAATCAGCACAATGTTAGTAAATAAATAAACTATTTTATTCAGTCCATAAATTAAAATCAGACTCTCAACATGACAGAAACACAATAAACATAAATGAAATGGATAAACATACTTTGATATTTCTTCTGTGTCCATGATACTTCCTAGAACATTTGTGAATGTGTAACAATAATGGTAATAGATTAAAGATGGTCATCCTTTTGATTGATAAAATAATCTGATGAGGGTCTGTGTACAGAAACGTTGTTATTAAATATTTATGACTGAAAGTGAAGTGGACAGTGTGTGGGAATATTTTGTTCTGTATTGTCAACTCCTTTTCTCCTATTCTCCGATCTATCGGTGTGCAAAAGTTCTGCTCTGTGAGTATTTTTATATCAAAATCTCTCCTTTCTTTTCCTGTAAAACCTAAATATATTTATGATCTTGTACTGATATTTATGAAATGTGATTTCCGCTGACTGACTTCCATATTGCAATTTTGAGGTACTTTACTTGAGTATTTCTACTTTCAGCAAATTTATATTTCACCACTGCGTTTCAGAGGCAAATATTTTATTATTTAGTTAATTTTACTAGAATTATTTGATAACTTTAGTTACTTTGCAGATTCAGATTAATAATAGAAAATATAATCAACAAATGGATTATGATGTATAATTATAGATTAAGATAAGACTAAATTGATCCCCAGGGACAAATTCACAAACAAAAATTATCCCCACCATTACCAGCTGCAACACTAATGTGATGCTTACACATTATAATAAATCTTATTCTGAAATGGGTACTGAGCTAGTGGAGCTTGCAGAACAATATCATATAAGGAGGTGTGTATTTGCATTTCAGTTGACAAAAACTTTGTATTCAATTCCAAAGAATCTGTTGAAGTCTAATTTATTTATTTTACCCATGTCCTACTGATCCAACAACAAAGGTGAAGGAGGTGTGCAGGCAAACATTCCTCCTTATTTTTGATGTGGTTTTGGTTTATAGTAATTTGTGGTGTCTTGGGCAGTTATATGACACAATAATAAAAAACACAAGTCATTTATTGTGGATCCTCTTAAGATATCATGGTTTTCAAACTGCAGAGATTGAATGATTTATAATGTCACATTATTCAACATGATAGTTGCAATTAAAATTGCTTGACTGTCTGTGTTTTAATTGCCTAACATACAATGTTCAACTGCATGAGAAAATGATCATTTAGCCAAGTCTCAGCACAAAATATGTGCTACAAAGAACAGTTTAAATTAAAACATTTAGTAAAAAGGTTGATCCGTAATTGTACCAGAATCACAAAGACTTAAGATGAAAAGTATCTTTAGGCTCTTTAGCATCAGAAAACGCAAGTGCTGCATTCCAGGTTCTCGTCTCAATTTTCTTCTCATGAAGTCAGTGTTTTGTAAATTTACTTCAGTTGTATGTCTCCAGTCCTCCTCTTCACAAACAGTTTTGCACTCTATGAGACCTACATAATTGTCATTTCCTGATATCCCTGTTAATCTATGCAAAATATGGTCAGAATGTCCACTTGTTCTTTAAATGTGCACTGCAGGCATCATCGCATCTGACATGTGTGCTTTGGCCAGAGTTTGGTGGGCCCTTTTCTCAGCAGCTCTGGCAATTCCTAGTTTCTTGAACAGAGATATCCCAAATACAGGTCAAAATACAAAAAAAAAAAATCTACATACTGTGACTGTGCTTGGATATAGAGTGATGGACTTGCCACTGTTGCCTGTCTTTACCATAAAAGGGACAATAATGTGTGTTAATATACCTCTGTTTGTAGTTTGAGATTGTCAGCTGTTGTAGAGCTCTGAGCAAAAAGAGGAGGATTAAATCCATGTTTGCCCAACAGCCAGTAGGTCATTTGACACCCTTTACCCTGTCATGGACACAAACACACTGGTCAAAAACACATCAAAAATTGGTTGTTCAGCTTACAGGGAAAAAATCTGGCTCTTTAGTCACCTTCATTTCGATTTCCCCTCTTTCTTCCAGTTCAAATGATCCAGCCTGGACAAGGATGTCAGCAGTGCACTGAGATATGTGAATCCTCAGGGCTGTGTGACATACACAGAAGAGAAAAACAGTGTAAAGGTATACATTTGACATTTTTTTGAATTTTGATTTAAAGCCAGTATGCTACGAGAGATCATGCTGATGTTTGGGAGGTGAGATTTACTAGGTTAGTTTAGCCATTAGCATGCTAACATTTACTAATTAGCAGAGGTGTGGGCTCGAGTCACATGACTTGGGCTCAAGTCAGACTCCAGTCACAAAAATTATGACTTTAGACTGGACTTGACAAAATCAAAGAAGACTTTGACTTTAACACCAATGACTCGTGACTTCACCTGGACTTAAGCCTTTTGACTTGTGCTGACTTGACACTCCCCATGCCCAACTATAAATTATGAAATAAAAAACTGTGCAGCGCATCAACATAGCGCGATGCTCAATTAGACTGGAGCACGTGGCTTCCTCCAGCATGAGGGAACAATCACCGACCATCCGAAGCGCGCCACAGTAGCTGTGATTAACCATAACATTTCTGACATAAGCTGTTACAATACATTCAGGAATTCCCTGTATTTTCACAAATATTGTTTTTATTATTTAAAAGAAAAAACTGTTAAAAATAAGTTTAATACTGTAAAAACATTTCTTAAACTTGGTACAATTAGTAACAGTTAACCGTAACAAAAAACATTTGTTCTGTAACTTGACAGATTTTCTTGTTAATTGACAAATATCTCCTTTAATTATGGATTTAGAAAATAAAAACATTGAATAAATGTTATTTTAATTAGTATATAGTGTCTACAAGTATTGTTAAACTGTCGAAACACAGTTTTGATCATTGAAAACAGCCATAATTACTGTAATTTCACAGCTTTTGACTTTTACAGAAAGGTAATATTTAATTTATTGTTAAATGACATTGGACAATGACAATCACAATGATTGTTTTTGTTGTGAAGCACTTTGTGGCCCTATACCTGTGAAAGGTGCTATAGAAATAAACTTTTACTTACTTACAGATGTTCACACCTTTTAATGGGGTTAAAAAAGTAAAATTACGGGTTTGTGATGAACAATTAAGTTTAATGCCATTTTACAGATACTTGATTGAAGAGTCTTAGGTATAGGTGTATTATCAAAATCTAAAGTAAACATATTTAAATCCTGTTTTTTTATAATTAAAAATTACCACATTATTACATTATTTTACATATATCCATGTATCCTATAATAGAGACCAGAAACCCATTTTGAGTAATCTTGTACTAGGGTTATTTATTACAGTTTATTATTATTATTATTATTATTATTATTATTACAGTTTCAGACTTCGTCTCTCGCACCAAAGGCCTGTGTCTTATCCATTGCTCCATCACCACCCCACAGACCTTAACAAAGAAAAGTACTTTAGTTTATATATACCTTATTGACGACATTTTTTTAGATCTATTCATTAGAAACCTAAATGGGTCAACATAAAGAATATTTTGTATACGGTTAGACACAGCTCCAAGATTAAAGTGCAATCTGAATGTGAAGTAATTGGAAAGTATTTCTTAAAATGCTGGCATTTTGCTTTCATAGGACTGTACAGAGACATGAAAGGCAAAGGAGAGGGGGAAATGGTGGTTTTACAGACAGTGAACTTATTGCACAATCCAAAGACTTCTTCCCTGGTTTCAGTATGATATTTTATGACTTTCTAAAGCCAGTTTTTGTATCTGGTAAATGTTGTTACAGCTGTATGTGTTTCTCTGTGCTGTGCATCCTTGTTCCTTTTCTGTCCTCTACTTCTGCCCCAGGAGTGCTATAGCTGATTGCTGAATTAGGTCCAACTGGCCTTGCAAGGCAGTGCACAACTGTGTGCACGAGAGTTGGGGAAGTTGAAGAATTTCTAAATTAAATTGGTATACAAAAAAGATGCAAATATATGCAAGTACAAAGACAAGTGCGAATTTGAAGTTTTTCTTGGCAGTCCAAATGAATCCATTTGTTTGCAAGTTTTTGGTATGCAAGCCAAAAGTACATTTTCTGATTCGACTGACTTTGCACAACAACACCTCTGGATGACCTAAAGAAACCACTTGGGTTCTTAGCACAATTGGAAAACAAACAACGGCAAACATGATCAACAGTATATATATCCAAGGTCTGCAAGACATTAAGTTTCCCTTAATAATTGGTATGGTGACCAAATTCTGGAAATGTGTTAGTCCATAGCCCTCCACAGAATTGGGGAAGAATTCAAGTTTGGTGGCTACATGACTGCAAAAATGACCAGAGGAGCAGATTACCACTCCCCCTCCACCACCAGCTCTTCCATTAAGTGTGAGCAATAAGCAAAAGGCAGATGATCTACACTAGCTTGCCGTTCCTTACATCCAAATAGCTTGACAGCGTTTGATTTACAATATAATTGCATTGATAAATAGGACTGTGTGATCTGACGGTATACAAAAGTATTGGGACACCCCTTCCAAATCATTGAATTCAGCTGTTCCAATCACTTCCATGGCCACAGGTGTATAAAATCAAGCACCTAAGCATGTGGACTGCTTCTACAAACATTTGTGAAAGAATGGGTCGCTATCAGGGCTCAGTAAATTCAAGTTTGGTACCTATGAGTCCATTTGTGAAATTTCCTTACTACTAAATATTTCAAGGTGAACTGTTAGTGGTATTCCAACGAAGGTTAAAATGAAGGGCAACTGGACTTGGTTGAAGCTACTGGAAGACGTTTCGCTGAGTTTCCCTGCCAGTCAGTCAGAACTGAAGAAGTCCTTTGGATAAGGGACGAAACGTCTTCCAGTAGCTTCAACCAAGTCCAGTTGCCCTTCATTTTAACCTTCGTTGGATAACTATGACCTGGATGACTGAGAATCTTCATAGACATCATGTTAGTGGTATTATAACTAAGTGGAA